CCTCTATTCCTCCTCCTCCGCGGCCGTCTCCCGAGGGTCTCCCTTCGCTCCTCCCCTCGCCGCCACCCTCCTCATTTTCCTCCTCCTCCTCCTCCTCCTCCTCCTCCTCCTTCTCGTCCTCCTCTTCATCCTCCTCCTCGTCCTCCTCCGTCTCCATCCCTCCTCCTCCTTCTCCTCCTCCTTCTCCTCCTCCTCCTTCTCCTCCTCCTTCTCTACCTCCTCCTCCTCCTCCTCCTCCTCCTCCTCCTCCTCCTTCTCTTCCCTCTCCTCCTTCACCTGCTCCTCCTCCCCCCCTCCTCCTCCCCTCCTCCTCCTCCTCCTCCTCCTCCTCCCTCCTCCTCCTCCTCCTCCTCCACCACCTCCACCTCCTCCTCCACCTTCTGCCCCTCTTCCTCCTCCTTCTTCCCTCCTTCTCCTCTCCCTCCTCCTCCTCCTCCTCCTCCTCCTCCTCCTCCTCCTCCTCCTCCTCCCCTCCTCCTCCTCCTCCTCCTCCTCCTGCTCATCCTCCTATTCCTCCTCCTCCTCCTCCTCCTCCTCCTCATCTTCCGTCTCATCATCATCAGCATCATCATCATCATCCTCCTCCTCATCATCATCATCACCATCATCATCACCATCATCAGCATCATCATAAGCAGCATCATCACCATCACCATCATCAGCATCATGATCATGGTCAGCATCATCATGATCATGATCATCATCATCCTCACCAGTATCCGCATCATCATCCTCATCCTCATCATAATCATCATCACAGCATCATCATCCTCATGAGAATCATCATCATCATCATCATCATCACCATCATCATCAGCAGCATCAGCATCAGCATCAAAATCGACATCAGCATCATCATCATCAGCATCATCATCATCCTTTTGCTCCCGCTCCTCCTCCTCCTCCTCCTCCTCTTGTTGCGAGGGCGCCGCACCCCCTGCGCGACGCCTGCCGCACCGAACGGAGCAGCCAAAACTCTCGCCACCACTTGCACGGCCAGTCCCGGAGCATCGTGGCCACAAGCGGCCCACCGGAGGGCGGGGCGAACACCGGATTTGTTTCGGGGGGGGCTGATCTGGCACGGGAGATTTACGATACGTTATATCGATGCAAACATTTCTTCCTGACGTTTGCGAGTCGGCACTTTGCGAGTAGTGGGACGCGCTCGTCTGGGCATTCCTCCCCAGAAACAAAAACGGTGTCCGTCCCGCCCTGATGTTGCCCGCCGGTGGCCACGGAACAGCCACAGCTCGCCACTTGTACGGCCAGGCCCGGAGCACCGTGGGCACCAGCGGCCAACATGAGGCCGGGGCGGACACCGGATTTTTGCTTCGGGGGGGAATGCCCGGACAAGCGCGTTCCACTACTCGCAGAGTAAGCACTCGCACATTGCCTGGATCCGCCGCCAGGGGTCCATGATGCAATACATCTAGGCAGACATGTGTGTGCGTGTGTGCGGACAATTGCGAGCAGGCACTTCGCGAGTAGCGGACTGCGCTCGGTGAGCCGTGGCCACAAGCGGCCAACAGGAGGGTGGGCCGGACACAGGTTTTGTCTGGGGGCGGGAATGCCCATAACGAACGTTCCCAAGTGCACCAGTTTCACCAACGAGCCCGGGCTCCCCTGCGACCCCTCCAGCGCCCCTTCCCCCCGGATGTGCCGCCATGGGATGACCTGGGCCTGCCAGGTCCGTGCGCTGGTCAAGAGGAGCTGATCGGTTACGCCTTCGCGTTTTGCCCTCCAATTTGGGGAGGGAGCGCTAGGGGGTTCATCAGATTGCCGGGAATCCCCTCCTCCTGCTCTTCCCCTCCCTGTCGTGCCTGTTGCCCTCCTCTTCTCCTCGCCTCCCCCCCCTCCTCCTCCTCCTCCTCCGCTGGTGTCCTCCCGTGGCGTCCCCTTCCTCGTTCTCCCCCTCCTTCTGGGTTGGCCCCCCGTTTTGATAAGTGGCGCCACTTTATAAAACAGCCCTGCGGAGCAAGGCTGGTTTGGCTACGTCCGTACGACCATGCAGCCACCAGGAATCAGGAATCAGATGGAGAAAGGGAGGAGGAAGCAGCAAAGGACCAAGACCTCCTCGCAGACCGAGGACCAATGTTTCATTGCGTCTCGCGCGCGTTGTGGCACACCTGCGGGCTTATCCTCGTCACGCCTGGATCCGCGGAAAATGTCGAAGGTCGAAGTGCCCTGCGACCCTGGGGGCTTTGGCCCGGTCCCCAGCCCCTGGGTCGATCCGGCCCGAGAGATCCCGAAAGGTGAGGTCGAGAGCTCAGGCGTGATTTTCCCACGATGATGCAATTTTGCTCGCGACGTCAGAGCTCAGGGTTCGAACATCGAGCTTCGCGGGTCGAGCTTCTCGGGCGTTTGTCCCCTTTTCTGGTCCACCAAGAGCTTCTTGTCGTCACGGAAGGATCCGCCTCGAAATGCTGGCCAGAGCACCCCCCAGGGCAGGTTCTTGGGGCTGTGATGTGCACCTCAGACGGAGGAGGGCGCGGCAGGCAGGAGGAGAGGGAGGAGGATGGAGGTTCGAAGGTCGAGGATCGACGTTCGAGGGGTCGAGTATTGTCGAGGCTCGTTGATGGGTAACCTCGAGGCTCAGGTCGCTGAACATCAAACGGCGAGCCTCGAAAAGGAGGCAGGCTGCACGCACACAAACCAATCCTGGCCAGGTCAATCCTGGAGCGAGTATATGCGTATGTATTTAGTGCATACCTACGCATGTAAACACCAGCATCGATTCGTATAACTATATATATAGATGTACACATACAAATGTTTATGTATGTGTATGTCTGTGGATGGCCATTCAGGCCGGTACAAGCATACATACATACAAACATACACACATGCATGCATACATGAACATATCCATACCTCACCATAAGTTCATACATACATAAAAGTATACACACATATTTTCACACACGCATGCACGTACATACATACATACATGCATGCATGCATACAGACAACCAGACAGACATACAGACATGCATCCATACAGACATGCATACATACATACATGCATACACCTACATATGTACATGCATAGACACATATACATGCATGCGTACATGCATACACCCATACAGACTCACATACACATGCATACGTGCACACCCACATACATACATGCATGCACGCATACATGCATACATGAATGCATGTGTGCATACATGCACATAGGTATGCATGTATACATGCATGCGTACACATTTACATGCATTGCTACAACCATACACACGTTCAAACATACATGCACACACATACATACATGACGACTGGTCTACCTACACACATACACACATACCCACACACACATATATATATATGTATAGCTGCATGTGTGCAAGCATGTATACATCAACACATACCCACACGTAGGCACATACATGCATGCATGCACGCACACATACATGAATGCATGCCTGCAGTCATACGCATGCGCAAATATACACATATACACATCTACAGACGTACACGCCTGCACGCATGCATACTTGGCTCCAACAAAAGTTTCCTTGGAAACTCGCAAGAGGAATAATATGTATCTAAACCCGTCGGCATGATGAAAAGTCGCGCGCGCGTGCTCAGCGTTCGCACGCACGCGATCCCAAGACGTCCCATGGCCACAACATGCTTCCAGGAATGCCTCAGGCCACGGACGATAACGTCCAGAGGACCCAGGATGATGCCACCCCAACGCGATCCCGCCATGGATTCTGGACCGTCTCAGGCCGACTCGCAGATGACGAAACACATGAGCGACGCGTGACGCCGAGATGGCCCGATGGCAGCATTCCTGATCCAAGCGCACCCAGGGTGGCTTCATAATGACCACGCGATGGTTGCGTGAGCCAAACATGACCGGGATATGATCTCAAGATGACCTCAACACGACCCCAACACGGCAATAATACTGCAACTTATGAGCCCCATCTTACTTCGAGCCGATCCCAGCATGGCGGGATCCGTGAACGGCCCGGGACTTTGGTCTACCCCATTTTTAATGGGTGGGATTTTGATCGTCCTGAACTAAACTTATACTATTAAAGCGGAATAAGCCAGGCGGGATCCCGCCCGGCCCGCGGAGGAACACAACATTGCTAGGCTTCTACGGGGGTAGGGGGTTCGGAAGGGGCGTCGTTTACTTCCGCTGACATTGGCAAGCCTTCCGGCGGCCTTCCCCCGTCTTCCGCCTCGTTTGGCCAGCGTCGTGATGAAAATTCCAGGAACTTTCATTGGGCCGATGTAAGTACACGTATACACGTATACATGCATGCATGCGTACATGCACACAGACGCAGAGACATACATACATACGCGCATGCACACATACAGAGAGGCAGACTGACAGACATACCAACACGCATACAGACAAACACACATGCATGCAAGCACACATGCATGCAAACATGCAGGTGTGCATACGTACAGAGCCACTGCCAGCAGATCTCCACCAAAACTCCGTTCCCAAAGACCGACCCCCCCGAGCCGGAGGCACTCCGTTCAGGCCACCCTCTTGCGGGCGCGCCGGGCAAACGGGTGCTACCCGCTCGGGGAGGGGAAGTGGTGGTGGTTCTGTCTTCTCTGGTGAATGCCTGCATGCTTTTTTAGGCCTACCAGCCCAGACCCCCTCGAGTCATGAAAAAATCACGACGGGAGGTTCTTCTTATATTTTCGGCCTCCGGGCGCCACTACCAGCCCTCCGGCCCGTCAACAAACACGACTCAGGATGAGAAACCCGTCCCCGGGAATGGGTCCCGACCTCTGGGGGTCGCGTCATGAACAGATCCTGACGTCGGGGGCCTGGGGGGCGCTCCTGGAAGGGGCCTCGGCTCTTCGAGCCCTCGCCGCGCTCCTTCCCGCCGGAGCCCTCTTCCTCGCCGCCTCCTCCGCATCCTCTGGGGGTCGCGTCATGAAAAATCCTGACGTCGGGGGTCTGGGAGGCCAGGCCAGGAGAGCGAACAGACGGCCCCGCGCTCGCGCTCCGCGCCCCCCTCCTGCGGCACGTAGCCGGGGTGGTCGTCCAGGAAGCCTTGCACCTGGCAGGCCGCAGGCCGAACACTGGACCGGGCTCCTCTCGCACCTCCTCCTCCTGCTCCTCCTCCTCCTCCTCCTTGTCCTCCTCCTCGAATCCTTCGACTTTTGAGTGCACTCGACCAGGATTGTAAGGACGCGCGGTAAGGATGCAAGGGCCTTGGAGCGCCATGTTGACGTTTTCCGTGGGAAGCGCAGCAGAATGCCGAAGGATGCCGAACACCGAAAGGGAAAGGATGCAAGGGTAGCCTCGGAAAGTTGCCCCATCCTTACTATCATGGTTGACTGTACCTCCTCCCTGTCGCACACCCAAACGCGTTGGTAGGGCGGACTGGGTGTTCCACCTGAGACTTGTTCACCACCTTTGGTCCCGAAGCGTAAAGCTTGCAACAGTTGCATGGATGGAGGGCATGTGTTTCCCCCATGTCCTAAGATGAGTTGCTTTCATTATTACTAAGACGCCTCCAGACTGTCTTCCTCCATTTCCTCGTTATCCGCCTCTTCTTCTTCGTCGCTCTCATATCACTCAAGTACTCGTGGTCAGACCACTGACGCCCATCAAGGGTTCCATCACAAACACACTCTTCTGCGCGGGCTCCATCACACACTCACTTTCCGCACGCAGACTGAGCCACATCCCTTCCTCATCAGGGAATTAACCTCGTATGCGGTCTAATACACTTCCAGGCCGTATCACTCCAACGCACTCCTCCTCACTCAGACTTTTGCGCCTGTCCACTGCTCACCGCGATCTGGCAGGCGTGGCACTTAGGCACCCCACGAAAAATGAGCCCAAATGGGTGGCACTCGCCCGTTCGCGCCCAGATTGTGGGGATGTCTCAGGCGGTTTGCCTGTTTCTGCCCCAAGACTTGTCTCTTTTGGTGGTCCAGTGCTCACCGCGATACATCAAGCGTGGCACTTGGGCAACCCAAGGGGGAACCGCCGTGGGGTATGACACTCGCCCAGCCGCCCCCAATTGTTCGAAGTGTCTCAGGCGAATTGCCTTTTTTTGCCCGCCAGACTTTCCCCATCTGGTGGTCCACTGCCCACCGCGTTTCAGGGGGCGTGGCACTGGGGCAACCCAAAGTGGAGCCGCCTGGGGTATGACACTCGCCCTTTCGCGCCCAAATTGCGGGTATGCCTCCAGCAGTTTGCCTGCATCCGCCCCGCAGACTACGATCTAGCAGGCGTGGCTGTTAGGCTTCCTAGCGGGCCGCAGCCAGGAGTGATGACACTCGCCCGTTCGCGCCCAGATTGAAGGTATGTCTCAGGCGGTTGCCTTTTTCTGCCTCCCAGAATTGCCTCTTTGGGTGGTCCACTGCCCACCGCGATACATCAAGCGTGGCAGTTGATCACCCCAGCGGGGTGCCGCCAGGGGTGATGACACTCGCCTGCCCGCGTCCAGAAGGTGGGGATGTGTCCGCGTTTCCTTGTTTCTGCTCTGTCTGACGTTTCTCTTGTTTGTTTCTGCCCCCCAAACTTGCTTGTTCTTCCCCTTCAAACTTGCGGTGCTCCACTGCTCACGGCGATATAGCAGGCATGGCAATTGGGTAACCTAGGGGGGAGCCGCCAGGGAATATGAAACTCGACTGGTCGCGTCCAGATCGCGGTGATGTATCAAGCGGTTTGCCGGTTGATATCCCCCACTCTTTTCTCATTTTGTGGTCCACTGCCCACCGCGATCCAGAAGGCGTCTCATTTGGGCACCTCGCGGGAGGGCCGCCATGGGTGGGGACACTCCTAAGTTCGGCCCATATCGTGGTGATGTTTCGACCAGTTTGCCAGTCTCGCCCGTCCAAACTTCTCCTCCAACGTGTGTGATCAGCGTTCATTCATTCACTCACTCATTCACCTCCTCTCCCGTTTCTTGCCGAAACGCACTCATTCACACCCAGTGCTACGAAGGAACACTTCTTCCTAAATCAGGGTCGCTCGTCTTATTCAAACTCACCCACACTCAGACTCACTCATACCCAGATTCGTTGATGCATCGATTCGCTCATACTCATGCTCGCACAAACTCAGACTCACAAGCACCCAGGTTAAACCACAATCAGACTTGGTCAGGTTCAGACTCGCCCACCCTCAACCCCAGTCACACTCGGACTACCCCGTAATCGGGCATACTCATATTTCATTTGTGTGTTCATCACAGGCACACGCAGACTCACTTTCTTTCAAACTTACTCGCACTCATATCCAGTATCGCTCGGACCCGCTCACACACAGACACAATCATACCCGGCTTCGCGCGCACTCCGGCGCGCTCACACTCAGATCAGTCACACTCAGATTCGCCCGCACCAAGGCCCACACGCAAGTGGCTACATGGATGTAGCCGGCGTTGCACTTGGGCACAGGCGTCGCGAGTATCACGCCAGAGAGCGGGCGAGAACGCCATGCGTGGCCAGAGTCGCCGCACTTGGAACGGCAAGTGGAATCCCCCATCGCTCTTCCACTTATATTTTCCGCTGTCTAGAGCAGGACGTCACTGAATTCGTCGCTGTCGTCGTCGTCGTTTTCGCGCCTGTCGTCTAAGCGAACCCGCTCTCACACCCAAATGCTCACAAACAGACTTTCCCAGCGGGACAAGACAGTAGTAATGACGTGCACATGTTGTGATGTCCATGTCGAGTAAGTAAAAAAGATGCTCTTGCCTTCGCGTCGCGTACAATCGCCCGAACAGTTCGCAACAGCTTCGCGTATGGAGGGCGGTTGGTTTTCAGAATGTGGCATGCGCTTCAAGGCCGAGCTCATTCATCTTGAACGCTTGCAGCAAATTCGCAGATGGAAAGCGACTCGTTTTCAAAATATGGTTATCGTTGTTCCGTCGCGCGCAGCCGTTTTAAACAGTGCAGCGCTTTTAAGGATGGAGGGCGGTTCCTCTTCAGAAAGTGGTTCTCGCCTGAGCGCCGCGCACACCTCGCCTTTGATTGGTGCAACGGTGTCAAGGACTCGCATGGCTGAAGTCCCAAGAATTGTGTTCTGGTACGGTTTTGGTCAGCCAGGACGCAACGGTCACGTGATTCGTGGCGTCGACGTCCCAGGAATGGTGTCCTGGCGCGATTTAGGTCGACGTCCCAGGAACGGCGTTCTGGCACCATCTGGGATTGTCAGGACGCAGCAGTCACGTTGATTCGCGGCGCTGCAGACAGAGGAATTGTGCTTCAGCACGACTGAGGATTCTCGGACGGTTGTCGTCCAACGTGGCACTTCCCACAATGAAAATCCGCCACGGTGCCATCGGCAGGTAGAGTGCCCACAGCTCTGCGAGGTAGAGGGCGTGTGCGCCTCAAGCGTTCTTAATGGCCCGGGCCCTCTGGTTTCCCAGGCGCTCTCGGGCGCCACTGCGCTCTCTCGGGATGCGTCGCCTGCGCTGTTGAGGCGCCAAGAGAACTCAAAAACGGGCCCAGAGGATCCTAAGAGGCCCCAGAGACGGCCGAAGAGGGCCCCGAGTCGTCGAGTGATCGGTCCTAGACGCCCAAGGTGGCCGACAGACGGCCAAAGATGCCCCCAAGACGCCCCACGTGGCCCCCAAGGCCTCCGAAAGGGGCACGAAGAGGCAAACATCACTGATTGGCCTTACGTGTTAGAAGGATGTTCGCGTGCTTGCCATTTCGACTTCCCGACGCTCCAGGACAGCCCAAGAGACGTCAAAGACCGCCCCAAGACGGCCCCGAACGAGCATTTCGAACGCTCGGTCCCTAGACCCCCCCCCCCGAGAGGCCCCGAAGACGCCACAAGACGCACCCAAAACCGCATCCAAGAGGCATACGAGAAGCCTGCCCAGAGAACCCCACCAGCATCCAGGAGGCCTCTGACATACAACACAGTCACGGTGGCGGGGTGGGCATCATCTGCATCAGCATCAGAATAATAATCAGCATCGGCATCATAATCAACATCATCAGCACAGCATCATCAGCATCATCAACTTCATCATCGTTCTCATCATCGTCATCATCGCCATCATCATCAGCATCATCAGCATCGTCATCATCACAATCGGCGCAGTCATCATCATCATTATCATCGTCATCCGTACCATCATCATCAGCAAATCCAGCATCAGTAGCAGCATCAGCATCACCATCATCACCATCATCCGCATCAACACCATCAGCATTAGTATTATCAGCACTATCAGAAGTTTCACCATCAGCATTATCAATCATCCTCATGCTCATCGTCAGCAGTATCATGAGCGTCACCACCATCATCGTCAAAAACTATCATCAGTTTCATCACCATGAGCGTCATCATCACCACCATCATCATCATCCACATCATCAGCATGAACATCACCATCCTCGCTCCTCGCTCGCCACCTTCTCTTCTTCCTCCTCCTCCTCCTTCTCCTCATCCTCCTCATGATCCTCGTGATCCCCATCCTCCCTCTCGCTCGTCGCTCCTTCGCTCCTCTCTCCTCGCTCATCGGACCCCGCTCCTCGCTCCTCGCTTCTCGCTTCTCGCTGCTCCTCCTCCTCCTCCTCCTCCTCCCTCGCTCCACGCTGTAAGATAACCAAGGGGGCCCCCCAAAGACCCCTAAAGTCACCAAAGAAACCCAAGGAGCCCCCAACAGGCCGAAGGAGGCGAGAGGCCCCCAGGAAGCTTCCAGGAGGCTCCAAGAACTACCCAAATCTCCCAAGAGGTCTCCTCCTCCTTCTCCTTCTTCCCATTTCCTCCCTCTCCTCGTCCTCCACTTCCTCCCCGACGTGTTCCTCGAAGGGCTACCACAACGGCGAGGGTAGCACATGGCCCAAAAGCTTGGCCAAACGTTGCCCAAACGTTTGGTCACAGAGGCGTATCCTAAAAGGCAGGGCGTGGCGGTGATTCGCCGTATGCGTCTTCGATCCGCCACCCCATGTTGATGTATCACAGGGATGCCCGGCGTGATAAACGTCTGATGGTTGTTGATTCTTTCTCCCCACCCGACAGGTTGGGGTTGTTGGATCTCAAGAACAGACCACCAAGCCAACCCCTCCCTGCATACCGCGGCCGCCAGACCCCAAGATGTCCCGAGAATCCCCCAGTATCCCCGAGAGTCCCTGGGAGTCCTGCCCCCTCACCCTCGACAAACACGACTGCATACCGCGGCCGCCAGACCCCAAGTTTTCCCGAGAGTCCCCGAGTGTCCCCGAGTGTCCCTGGGAATCCCGTTCGCGCCCTCGACAAACACGAAACAGCACAACAGTACACAACATAACATGACATCATACAATATAGCAACATCATGACAACATAAAAACAGACTATGACATCACAAAACATACCCGGGCATATCATTACTGAGCAGAGAACGACAGAACACGCACGGACATTACATAACAGTTCATAACATGACGCAGCTTGATGGGACATAGCATATAATGACACAGCTTTCAGAACAGATCTGAGCACTACAACAGAGCATAGCGACGAACACGACATACGATAACATAACAGAGCATAGCACCACCATGACATAACATGACATGGCAGTACCATTACAAACCATATCATGACATAACATCACAGAACATGCCAAATCATATCACGCCAAAACAGACCAGAATTGTAGACAGAACGCGACAGAACAGAACAGAGCATGACAGAAGATGGCAAAACAAGGTATAGCGTGAAATAACAGAGCACACCATAACATCACAAAACAAACCAGAGCCGAACGTCAAATAACAGAGCACCGCAGAACATCACATAACAAACCAAACAAGAGCACTAGAGAAGATCACATAACAAACCAAAACCTGGCCAGACCCCCAGTCCCGAGAATCCCCGAGGCGCGCCCTCGACAAACCCGGCACAGCACACCACTTCACAACATAATATGACCGAACACAACATAGCAATAACATGACAACATAAGTCATACTATAACATCCCAAAACACATCCAGCTGGATAATTGCAGACAAGTGCATAACATAGCATAACGGATCATAACATAACACACATTGACGGAGCATAGCATATCATGACACAACCGTCCCGAACACATCATGACACAATAACTGAACATGGCAACGAACACGACAGAAAAAAACATGTCACAATACAATGTATCATGTCAACACGCGATCATGACATAACACAACGGAACATAACATGGCAGTACCATTACACCACATATCATGACAAACCATCGCATACCATCCCATGATAAAATTGTACACATACCACGACATGCCATAACATATCATGGCATGGCATGACACAGCAAGGCATAGTATTACAGACCAAAGCACAGCATACTATCACAGACCAATCCAAGCCAGAACGTCACATAACAAACAACCACAGACCATCACGGAACAAATCAAACCAGAGCACATGAGAACATCAGAGAACAAACCAAAACCAGGCCAGACCCCCAGTTGTCCCGAATCCCGCAGTCCCTGCCGCCGCCCCGCCGCGGGCGGCCTCCTCGCCTGCGCCCCTCAGTCGAAGGATGGGAGGGGAGAGGAAGGAGGCATGGGGAAGGAGGCATGGGGAAGGAGGCATGGGGCAGGAGGAGGAGGACAGGAGCCCAAGGTTTCGGTGGGGATCGCTCGAAACAAATAAGTATAACTCCCCCTGGGGCTTCGGCTCATTGCGCGGGCTACCCAGAAGGGAGCGTAAGCCGCCGAGGAATGTGCCCAATCGTTTCCAAGACGGCCAAGATGGCATCCGACTTCGCCCAAGATGGTCCAAAACGGCTTCCAAGACAGCCCACGAGGGTCCAAGATGCCTCCAAGTCCGCCCAAGAAGCCGCCAAGACGGCCTGAGACGACCCACCCAAAAGACGGTTTCCGACCGTGTCAAGAAGCCCCCAAGGGCCTCAGACGCCCAAGCAGGCCCCAAAGATGCCTCCAAGAGGCCTCCAGGCAGCTCACAGGAGGCGCCAAGAGTGCCACCAGAGGCCCCCAAGATGACCCCTGCTCCTCCTCGTCCTCCGCCTCATCCGCCTCCTCCTCTTCCTCCTCCTCCTCCTCTTCCTCTTCCTCCTCCTCCTCCTTCTCCTCCTCCTGATCTTCCCCGCAATCCTCCCCAACGTGTTCCCCGAAGGGTTTCCACAACGGCTGGCGGAACATATGGTCTGACAGTTTGGCAGAGCTCTGGCCACAACGTTCGGCCACATGGGCGATTCCAAAAGGCAGGGGGCGGCGGTGATTCGCCGTAGGCGTCTTTCCTATGACAAGGAAACTTGGAGGGAGAGGTTATTGCAACATTGTTGATGCATCTTGGATTTACACTCGTCCACCTCCCTTCCTCCTCCTCCTCCTCCTCCTCCTCCTCCTCCTCCTCCTCGTCTCTCACCTCTCCATGCTTCACCCTCCACTTCCCCTCCTCCTTGCTCGCTCACTCGCTCGATAAGGGCTGTGCAATCTGGCCCGTGCCAGGTGCACGAAACATACATCAAGGAACCAGCGTCAGCGCGGAAGCGCGGGAACCGACGAGGGGCCACCGAATTGGCCCCCGCCACCGCGGATGGCCGCAGCCGCCACGGATCACGAGGCAAGCCCAGGAGAGGCAAGGCCAATGCCTGGAGCCAAGGGCCACAGCGAGGTATCCAGCGGCCCGACTGGGCTGTAATCTCGCACCGTGGTGACCCTTCGCGCCTTCGGTCGCTGGGAGCATGGCGCTTCTCTCTGGGAAGCGGGCGTCCGACCAGATTGATACCCGAGCGGTGGCCGGCACACCGGCGTAGATGCCCGATGGGGGCGTCCCATGGCCCAGCCCAGACCGGCCTGGCCCACCATCCTCTTGTTCCTGCTCAGCGTCGTCAAGGCGTATTGCAGGATCAACCGATCATGTATTCGAACATGGAGGACGTAGAAGAAGAACACGAAGCACATCACGAAAGGCATCTTCAAAAACAGAGGGACGTGAAACTAGCCATGCCATAATGATGTCGTTACAAAGTTCAACTTTAGGGCAAGACCCATCCTGGTCACATGGAGAAAACAGAAGGGCAACCGAGAACTGAAAAAGGCGCCGACTCCCTGCACGTGGATACGGACAGCCAAACTTCGTCGCCAGCTTCATTGAGATCGCTACAGGCACAACTTGTAGAAGACCGCGATCTCCCTTGCGTCCGGCTGCGGAGGCTCAGGGTTGCCGTGGTGCACGAAAAGGATTCACAGTTCAAAGAACAATGCCACTTCGTCCACCTATCAACTACACGCAGGAGTGACCCTGGGTAAGGCATGACCTGTGGTGGGCGGATTTTGGGCGGCCGCGGGGGGGGGGAGGGGGGGGGCCAAACACAAGCGCGCAAGACGCTACGATCGTATCGCGTTCTGCTCTCGAGGGACCCTGGTGGGCCCGTACGAAAGGTCACTCTGGCGAAGGGTCGCTCTTACGCAGAGTCGAACCCAACACCTCAGCTCGGACGCCCGCAGGGCGCCCCCGACTTCCGTTGGAGCCCACAGCGCCGCACCTCGGTGGCCACGTCGATCGTGCACCGCGGGTGGCCTTCGGCATGTGCCGTCGGCTCGGTGTGGGTCTCCTTCGGCGCCGCTGCCCGCCGCTCCCAAAACGGAGCTCCTGCGAGCCGACGGATCGACACGTCGGAAAGTCAAGAACTCCCGCTGGCCCAGGAACCGCAGGCCCTGGCGTTGTGCAGTGTCGGCGGCGAGCCAGGGGGGAGAAGTGAGAAGGGGCAGGCATTCTCAGGGGGCTCGGGAGTCCCCCAGCCTTCTGAGAAGTTCCCTAAGACTTCCCTGAATACACAGATCATTTCTCAGAAGGCGCGAAGGCCCTCTGAGAAGCCCCGCTGCCTTCTCAGAAAACCTGTTCCTTCTCGCTTCCCCCGCTCGCTCGCCTCCGAAGTTTACCGTGAGAGGGGAGATGTGTCAGAGAAGACGAAACTGGGCAACCCCCTCGACGAAGGCTGGTTGTAGTCGCTGTCCTTGCGGTATCGAAGAGTGCTGGGCCAACTCTGGGCCTCTGTGACGACGCACTGGTGATCCGGGCTTTGCAGCGACATCCTCGTGCGCCCCGGCGGTGCTCTCGGCGACGATGCACATCCGCGGCGACACGGTACGTGTCGACCAAAGGCTGCCTCCCAGGCTCCACTGAGCGCCTCTGTGCCGCGGTTGCGGCTCTGCGGAATGTCTGTGACCAGGCGCATGGCATGTGGGATCGCACTCAGTTGATGCAGTCGCTGTGCAGGCGTAGAGCCGATGGCGCCGGCAACATCGTCGTAGGCCCCCACGCAAGGACTGCTCCTGCTCTTCTCCTTCTCCTTCTCCTCCTCCTCCTTCTCCTCCTCCTCCTCGCCGCACCGCCTCCTCGCCTCCTCCTGCTCCTCTCCTCCTGGCCTCCTCCACCTCCTCCTCCACCTCTTCCTCCTCCTCATCCTGGCCTTCTCGCCACATCGCCGACTGCTCGCCTCCTCCGCATCCTCCTCGACAGCGCGGCCCGTCACCTCCCGCCGAGTGCCCCAATTCGGGTGCAGCGACGTGTCCAGCACCGGCATGTTCGTGAGCGGGTCCTCGCCGAACACCCGCCGCCAGTGCCCCCTTCCCCCCTCATCCCACGCTCACCTCAACATCCTTCTCCACTTCAACGTTATCCACTCATGCTCCTTCTCATCCGTCTCCGCCTCCTCTTTCTCATCGTTCTCCCCATCTTCCTCATGCTTTTCTTATTCCTCCTCATCGTCCTCCCCTCCTCCTCCTCCTCCTCCTCCTCCTTCTCCTCCTGCGTTCCTCCCCCTCTCCCTCAGCCCACTCCCCTTCCCGGCCCTCCTCCTTCCACTTCCGACGCCGCCTCCTGCTGCTGTTCCTCCTCCTGCTGCTGCTCCTTTTCGCTTTGGTCTGGCGTTGGATGCTAGTTGGCGCCTGCTGGTGGCCTTGCGCTGCCCTCACGCTGCCCCGACGTTCGCATCCTCTTCGCGTCAACGCCCATCCTGGAGCTGCACATTTCCCCCCAGGGCGTAGGCGACCCGAGGAGGAGGAGGAGGAGGAGGAGGAGGAGGAGGAGGAGGAGGAGGAGGAGGAGGAGGAGGAGGAGGAGGAGGAGGAGGAGGAGGAGGAGGAGGAGGGGGGGGGGAGGGGGAGGGGGAGGAGCAGGAGGAGGAGGAGGAGGAGAAGGACGGGTCGCCTAAGCCCTTAGGAGAAACCCTCCACCTGGAGCCCCTTGTACCAGTGGCTGATCTGTTCCATGGGTGCTGGTACTGGAAATCCGGAATTCAAGAGGGCACCCTCTGTACACACCATTCTGGTCGGAATCGTGCACTTGAGCCCTTGCCTGTGCAATTCGGGGCAGGCTGTGCGACAGACTCGCTCCTGCCAGGGACACGCGGGGCAACCTGCAAATATCAGAGATGCCAGTGGCTTATCTAGAAGAAAGATAAACGGCATATACATGCACTTTCGACGGTCCGTGCGGATGCCATGGATCTGCGCTGGGCCCCCCTCCCTGGCGCCCGGAGCGCGCCAGGGGCTGCGCCGGAGGCGCCAGGGGCGCCCAGCGCAGATCCAAGACGTCAGCGCGGAGCGCCGAAAGTGTATGTTTATGCTATGTTTTCTACTTCGATTCTCGCTACTGCTCTCCCTCTCTGATGGGAGCGCGCCCATCCCGCTCCATCTCACCCTCACATGTCGCCCCGCTGCCCTTAGAGTGCGCCTGCTCCCAGCACTGCACTGTGCTCCCGTCTGTGCTCTTGCCCACCACCTCGTCATCCGAGTGCTCCTCGTCCACCCTCCGCCTTCGATGTTTGGCGATTTGGTCGCAAGGATTGTGGGAGGAAGCGCAATGAACACCAGGGCTGCCCACCTGGCCTCTCCGAGAGCTCGTCCACCCCCTCCCTCTCCTCCCCCGTTCTCCGTTCTGAGAAAGAGGAGGGACAGAAAGACAGAGAGAGGGAGAGAGAAAGTGCGGCAAAGCGAATGAGAGAGAGGGAGACAGAGAGAGAGAGAGAGACGGAAAGAGAGATAGAGAGAGAGAGAGAGAGCGAGAGCGAGAGCGAGCGAGCAAAAGGGAGGGGGACAGAGAGAAAGAGAGAGAACAACAGAGGAGAAAGAGCAATCCAAATATATAGATAGAGAGAGAGAGAGACAAAACAAAAAAACAAAAAAAAACAATAAGAAGAGATAGAGAGAGAGGGAGAAATGACAAAGCAACAACAAAACCAGAAAGAGGCGGGGGCGGGCGCGCCTTCGGCTGCGCCTGGGTCGCCCAGTATCTCTCGACGGCAGATCGCTGGGCGGAGAGGTTTGGCGGGAGGCAGGGGCAGGAAAACACACAAGGCAAACGTGCCTCCTCCTTCCTGCCCTCATGGTCCTCCGCGCCCTCCTCGTCCTCGCTCTCCTCGCTCTCCGCATCTGATTCAGATCGAAGCGTGCCGGCTCGGCAAGCCCACGCGGCAAACCTACCAGCGTGCAGACCCAACGAGAGGAGGAGAGAGAGAGAGAGAGAAATCGAGAGAGAGAGAGAGAAGGATGCCAGATGGAGAAAGCTAGAGAGAGAGGGAGGGAGAGATGGAGAGAGGGAGAGAAGGATAGAGAGAGAGGGAGAGAAGACATAGGTGTGTAAACATATAGAGAGAGAGATCAACACAAACAGTCAGCTTGACAACGTGGAGGAAACAATGTGCACAGGGCAAACACAGCGGAACGCTGATCTGCGAAGAAGGGGAGAGAGGATGCCAGCCTCTGTCAGCCGCAAGGACGCTGAGCCAGAAGCAAAGCCCATGTTTGGCCCCAGGAGCGTTTTTTGGCGCACGAGGAACGCCAGATGAGAAAAACGATGGAGGGACCTGAAGAAAAGCGGGCCCCTTTCAGAGCCCAAATTGATCCGTTTGCTCCAGCGCCTTGCCTGTACATTGATGACTTTGTTTGCCGTAGCGGCAGAATGGGGCCACCAAGCGTCCGTCAACTTAACGGGCCGCGGCCGACTAAGATGTCCCACATACCAAACTGGAGGAGAGAAACGAACTGCCGCGGAGTAAAAAGAACAAGGAACAAGGCGAACAGAACACGTAGCATTTCGAGCGTGGTGAAGGCGGCCCCAGGGCCCACGAGTGAGCCAATGCAACAGCACACAGCAGTTACATACGACAAGAAATCCAGCTGATAGAATTCGAGGGCACATCTATTGTCAATCATTGGGCGTCATGGTCAAGGTGTCAGGGGGCAACTATGGGTCCCCCAAGGGTCATCTGGGGACGGGAGATCTCCATGTGCGTACCCGCTGGCTGGTTGGTCTCCCATTTGTATGTGGCGCAAGCCGCTGTGGCAACACGATAAGATACGCGCGCGGCAGGAGGTGCGAACATCGTCGTTCAGGAGCTAAGTCCCAACGGATGAGCGTGGCCCAAGCTTTCCGTAAGACGTACTACTGACAATCGGTATATGGGGGCATACGCTGTTAGGGGACGACCTATGACACTGACCTCCTCAGCGGATGCCGATTCACGATGCCAGGTGCCCCCCCGAACTAGACTTCGAATTTCTCGGGCCATAGTCGTTGTTTTGCTGCTGGCAATCGCTCGGATGTGCAAGCAGTGTTTGTTATGATAGGCATCGCTCGGATGATAGCCATCACGGTTACCCTTTTTCGAGAAGTCTACCGCACCTATCACGTTTTCCCACACCAGGCAATAATGTTGTGTCCTCTGTACTCGGAGACTCCGCCACCCCGCGCGGGGTAATGACCGCCATCGAAAGCAAACACGAACGCGAAATCGTCGTGGGCAATCTGCCCTGCTGCTTGTCCAGGAGATGTGCCCTGGCCGCCGACGCGACGCCCTCGTAGCGGGCTAAGAAGTGTATCTAAAGCGGGTCCAGCAAGTCGCCACGCAGAGGATAGACAAGCTGATGCGGCAACGAGCAGCGCGCCAGAATCGGCAAAGGAAGAGCGCGGCCCCACGCCGTGCCGTCTTGAAGCTCTCTCCCCTATGCCTCTGCCTCCTGCTCCTGCCTCGCGCCTTCGCAGACGGGTCGTCCTTTTCATTCCTTGTGCCCCGCACCCCGGCCAGAGAGGGCGTCCCAGAGGCAAGGACCAGGCTTCATCGGCGCCCCAGTGAGCAGCATGGACGCGCAATCGCATGGCAATGCTGCGACATGGCAGCCGCCTGCCCTAACAGGGAGACGACACCAGGAGTAGCAACGGCAGCAGGCGGAGGAGCAGCAGCATGAGGAGGAGAACTGCTCTGAACGGCCTCGTTCACCAGGAGGCCCGGGCGGGACACGCACGGACGACGGAGGAGAAAGAGGAGCAGGATGAGCGAGCGCGCGAGTCCACGGGCAGGGGAGCTCGACGGCGAGGGAGTGCAGCGTGGCCTGCCACGCGACCATCGGGGGACCACTGCGCAGGGGCAGCGGATGCGGCGGGGCGGCGGCAGCAGCACAGAGCGCCTCGTAGGTGTTGCCGCTCTCCGTCACAAAGCAGGGGTCCTCCCTTCGCTGTCTCATTGGGGCGCGACGTCGGGATCCGCAGCAATGCAATCGATCACACGGACTGGGGCTGGCCTTTCACGGGGAGGGAAACGACAAGCATAGAGACGGCACGATCAAGGAGGGCGCGTCAAGAGGGGGGGGGTAAGAAGGGGGTAGATTCGACACTTCCTACCCGCCCTGTGTCCTTTTCCTCCTGCTCCTCGCCAACCTCGTGATCCTTGTCACCCAGGATCTGCTCCTCCACCACCTCCACCCTCTCCACATCCTCCGCCTCCTCCTCTTCCTCCTCCTCCTCCTCCTCCCTCCTCCTCCCTGTCCTTCCTGGCCTCGTCCTCCTCCTCCCGCTATCCGGTCCTCCTCCTCCTCCTCCTCCTCCTCCTCCTCCTCCCTTCCCCACCTCCTCTACCCTGCTTCCCCTGCCTTCGGGCCCTGATGCTGGCCCTCCGCTTTGCCAACTCCGCGTCCCCAACACGCGCGGCTGTGAGAGGGAGGCTCCATCCTTCCGTGCCGTGTGCCTGGGTGCCCCCAAGAAGCTTCAACATGCGTGCTGCAAGGATGCAATAACTGACGTTTTGCTCTGGGCTGCACGTTGCTCGAGCTTCCCTGGGCGTCCAGATCAGCCAGCCAGCCCCTGCCCTGCTGCCCCAACTGCCGCCTTGTGAGCTGGCCCGGCCGGCTCGTGTCGCGCTCAGTAGCTAATTAGGCTTGCCCGTCGGCCCGGACACCCTGTTCGCCGCCTGCGCTCTTCGCTCGCGGCCGCGACCAAAAAAAAAAAATAACTGACCCCCTCCTCCACCTCTACAGCAAGAGCATTCGATTGCCCCTCCCGCCCTGAACATGATCTGCGTGATCGGGCAGAGCAACCTCTCGGGCTCGACCACCTCAACGAGCGGGAGGAGGAGGCGGAGGGTGCGAAAAGGCAAAGGAAAGGGGAGAGCGTAGCGGGGACATCGAGGGACGTCAAATGAAGGTCCCTCTGGCGAAGAGCCACTTTTACGTGTAGCCGGCAGCTGGCCGCCTCACCGACCCTGGCCGGGCCGACTCTTGGACTAGGAGCGGTGGCTGCGCATCTCTGGCAAAGCCAGAAGAGCGTATACGCAGACCGATCCCAGGGTCCAGGATGGGCCCGCCCGGCCAGGATCGGTGAAGTGGTCAGTTGACGTCCCCGGGGACAGGACGAGGCGGAGGAGAGGAAGACGTAATGGCTTGAGCACCCCCAATCGCTCCTTGCATTTCTGGGCTGACGCTTGCTGTGGAATCCGTGACCACCGCGAAGCACCGTGCTCCCTACTCACCGCTTTTCGCTTCAGGAACGAGGTGGTAGTTGCCCCTGCACTTTGCTGACCGATGACCTGCTTTGAACAACGACCGTAAATCTGACGTCCCGACTGGGTGCTCGACTGAAGCGCGAACTAAAGGCTGATGTCCGCAAGACAAGCGTGCAGAAGACTGAGTGGTGCCTCTCACGCATGCGCGCCACCCCGCTCTCACGTTGCTGATCGACTGCCTCCCAGGAGCGACGCTCAGCACCGCCACGCCCCGCTGGAACAGTGCCACGTCGTGCTTCTTGCCAGCACCGCGCGAGGCCACCAGCACTTCTCACGCGGGGCTCTACACACCAGAGGCACCGCCAGGGGCGCTGGCCATCGCTCGGACGTCCGTTCCCTGTGTGTGTTTTGCGGTCTCGTGCGTGGCTGTTTCGCCAAATGCTCAGGGATGCTCCTCGAGGGTCCTCGCCGAGGAAAAAAACGCACACGTCCGAGCGATGCCCAGGGGCGGCGGCCCAGCGCCGACCCCAAGGAGGCCCGCGCGCACCTCGGACAGCGAGCGCTCATGCCTCCCGCTGCCCTCCCCGCCCCGAGCCTCGCCGGTCTCCGTGGGGCCCTGCTCCCCCGCCATCGGGCCGCGGGGCCGCGGCAGCTCCCGGGGAGCCCGCCGACGAGCGCGCTGTGCATGCTCGGGGGGGCTCGAGCGGCAAGGCACAACAGAAAACGGCGAGAACTGACGAACCAACAACCCACACCCATACCCGTAGGGGGATCGGAGAGGGCTATGGGTGCGTGTTGTCGGATGGGGGTCCCCGCTCGAACGGGAGCGTTCCCCAGGGTCCGACAACCCGCACCCATACCCATAGCCAGTCCCCCTCCCAACGACCTCTCTACGGGTATGGGTGTGTGTGTTGTTCGTTCGTCAAGAACGCGCAGTGGAGGGTGAAGGGAGGCATGGAAACGGGGAAGGGGCCAAACGGGTTCAGACTGCTGCTCAGGCATCGTCGGCCAAAATTGGGCGGGTGCGCAGCCGGGCTGCTCCAGCCTCGTACAGCAAATTCTTGTCGCGACGATTCGTGCGCTGGTATCCGACACTGTGTGGATCGCTCAACCTCGAAGGATCGCGGCTCTCTGATAACGAGGATCGTCCGGCATCGGCCTGTTCCGGGCCGCTGAGCCTTGAACGCCCACGCCGGGTCGGCGCCGCGTCGACGCGAGGCGAACCTGCCATCGGCAGGGTGGGTGGTCAGCGCCGGGTATTGTGTGCTTCCACCCTCGAAAGGTTGGCCTCTTGCTGCCCTGCTCGCGCGCTGCGGTGCACCTGCGCGCGAACGCCGCAGCCGCTTTCGGGGCCCAGGTGAGGGCCTGGAGTCCGAAGCGCGTCGCCATTAAGGCAGGTGTTGGAATCGGGGATACACCGAATGAGTCAGGGGGGCCAGACGGGACGCAGCCGCCAGGCCACGCGAATGAACCTGCTCCCCCATGTGAATATGCCACGTTTGCGAGGCGGCACACATGATACGAATGAGGCGGTGATTCCTATCTCTGTCTCCATATACGTCCCTCTCAGCATGAACCATGTATACCGATGTATGTACGTGCACCTCTGGCACCATATATATGTAAGTGTGTCTCTTTGTGTACGCGTCACTCTGTTCATTCTGTGTAAACATAGAAAACGATGATGTATCTCTCTCTATATATCTATATATATATAGATATCTATCGCACTCTCTCGCTCTCTCCTTGTACCCCTCCCTCCCTCCCGTGTACACCAGAAGCAAGCGCGCTTGGCGCGCGCGTAGGTCCTGGCAAGCACCCGCCCTTGACAAGTTTACAACAGCATGTACGCACGCACATACCAAAACATGAGGAGGCCTTGAGCGGAATAAACATCACGAAGGCGGACCGAGCATATGCACATTGCCGGAAGCGGCACGCCCAGTTAACTTCAAAGCGACGCAGTGCAACACAGTGCCAAACCTAGAAATGAATTGCATGCGTTGCAGCGGCAGGGAAAGGCAATGCACCTTGTCATCTTAAGCAGATGTAGCGCTACCCCATCATAACGCAACGGGGCGCAAACGCATTCAAAGGAACAGTGAATAAAGCAACTGCAAGGCAACGTAGTGCAAGCCCATACGAAATTGACCAGTGTAAACGAAAACGTTACGAATCATCAGTGGGCAATGCGAATGCACTGCAGCAGGCCGTGCTCAGGAAAGCTGAGGGAGCCGACAATCCTGGCAACATGGAGTTCGAATCGCGTAGGGGCGGGGTATCCGACGAAAGAGCCCTGGGCAGCTGGGCTGGAGGTCGTAAGTGCCACCACGCCCCCTGCGCAGAGGAAGGGCTGGAGAGGGGAAAGACGAACAAAAAGGGAAGGAGGAGGGAGAAGAGAGAATCCGGCTCGCAGCAGGGATGGGAGAAGAGTCGAGCAAGGGGACTGCAGGAAGAGAAACAGAGGGAAGCGAAGAGGCAAGGCGGGATGGAGGAGCAAGGAGGAAGGCGAGAGGATATTGCAGCATAAACAAAGTTACGATCGAGAAGGGCGGGAGTAGAAAGGAGGGACGGAGGAGCCATCAGGCCCTCGTGGGGCTATCATGGGATCGTGGAGCCATATCTGCAGACCTTGCTGGAACAACATTCGTTGGGTCTCTGTCTGTTCGGGGCCCTGGGTGGCCCGTGATGACTCGCCGCCGCGGCCCGCTGGGTAGCACTTTGGAAACCGCTGGGGCCCCTTGGGCTCCTTATGCAAGTCGTACCTCGGAACATTTTCGGGCCATCCAGAAACGCACCGAACTACGACTCGAGCAGACGGAATCCCTGAAAACGCTTCAATTGAATATGTGGTGTCTCGCTTCGTGTCGTTCCAACTGGTCTTCGGTCCACCCTGCCTCCGAGGCTGCATTGCGGGTCAGAGTTCCTTGGATGCCTGTTAGGGACTCTCGGGAAATCTCTGGGGAGCCTCCTTGAGGTAGTTTTGAAACCTCTTGGGACCTCCTGGGGAGCCAATTGGGGCTCTCTGCATCTTTGGGGCTCTTGGATCCTCTTGGGTGCATATTCGGGGCCTCGTGATTGTATCAGAGGTCCCGCTGGGGCGGAGTGCCCGAGCTGTCACTTCGAGCTCCCCTTCCCGCGCTTCTCCTGGGGCTCTCTTGGAGTGCTCTTGGGCCGTCTTGGGAGCATCTTGGGCTGTCTTGGGGCGTTCTTGAGCCGTCTGGGGGACCTCTTCGGGGGCTCTTTGGCTGTCCTTGGGGCGATCCAGGGCCGCCGAGACACAGACGGCGACAATGGAGGAGAGACGGGCCCCGAGGCAGGCACCGAAGGACGCACCGCTGGAAGCAGACCCAAAGAAGTTACCAGTTTGGAAGTCCGGGGCCAGCTTCCCGGAATCTTCTTGAAACAGACCTGGGCCTTAGTGGGCCCCGGAAACGGCAGGGCAATTGTTCCACCGTTTCCGAAACTGTGTCCCTTAAAAATGGAAACGGCAAAAAAACGGCGACCGGAAACGGCAAAAAAACGGCTCCAGGATTGGACCTGGAGCCGGAACCGGTCGAAAAACGGCGACGGAACCGGTAAAAAAACGGCGTCGAAACCGGCAACAAAAACGGCAAAACGGAACCGGTAAAAAACGGCCCTGTCGTTTCCAGGGCCCACTAAGACCTGGGCACATGTTTGTTGTCAACGCTAGAGGGGCGAACGCACTCAAGAAACAGGGCCCAGCCAGTATAGATCACTCGGCGGTGGGCAAACCTCCCTTTCGTAAACCTCCCCTCAGTGAAACCGGCCTAGGACCCGACGGACCCGCACCCGCAAAAATGACGGCCGCGACGCCGTCTCGCGAACCGAGAACGGCCAATTCCTTAATCGACGCGCCAGGGTAGGAGGTCTGTCCACCCCCTAATCTCATGTCGGGCCTGTCCCCCTACAGGTGGATGTTCGACGATTTTTTTTAATTAAAAGAAAAAGAAACCAAAATACCCCGAAATGGTAAAGAAAAAAATACTCAAAACATGGTTCCCGGACTATTTTTGTTGGACCATGTTTTGATTACTTTTGGGGTATCCTTATTTTTCGTCGAACATCCCCCGGGTAGGGGGACCCGCCCGACATGACCCGAAGCACACGCAGGAGATGGCGACACGAGGCGCCCAGGCCCCCGACGGCGACGACCGCGGATCCAACCACGGCGGCCCGCGCACGGCGCACGCCGCGCAGGCCACTTTTTTTCCTCCGGGAGGGCGCGCGCAGCGGTCCGTCGCTCTGAAGTCTCTCCGCGCCCCCGGAAGGTCCTGGCCATCGCTCGGACGTCCATTCCCTGTGTATTTTTGTCGGTTTCGTGCGTGGCTTTTTCGCCAAATGATCAAGGATGATCCTCGATGGTCCTGGCCGAAGGAAAAATGCACACGTCCGAGCGATGCCAAGAGGTTCTTGTGGTGCGAGTGGCGCGCGCCCAACGACTGCCTTGGAAAAAAGATTGGCCCCTGAGGTGAGCATCCTTTATCCGACCCCCACACTCGACCAGGATAGTAAGGATGCGCGGTAAGGATGCAAGGGCCTTGGAACGCCATGCTGACGTTTTCCGTGCGGAGCGCAGCAGAATGCCGAAGGACGCCGAATACCGAAGGGGCAAAGATGCAAGGGTAGCCTTGGAAAGTTGCCCCATCCTTACAATCATGGTTGACTGTATCCCCAACGGCGTGGCCTGGGCCCCACTGGCCGATCTACCCCACCCAGATGGGGACATCGACCGTCTCCCTCGGGTCTCGAAGGTTACATCCCCAACTGGGGGGCGGTGAGATGGTGGGGGTCTGGATGGGGATGGGGATGGGGATGGGGATTAAGGTCGGTTCGTAAAGCGATACTGATGAGGGCAAGAGCGTCCTGGCAGATTCCGCCTCGAAGGCAAGTCGCGAGATGCGGATGTGCAGCACGGCGGCACAACCGGTCCACGGACCGCGAGCTGCCGATATTCCAAGAAACGGCACGGCGCCACCTCGGCGACACCAGCCGCCTGGGTCTTTGACAGAAAGGTGGAGGAGAGTGAGGGGCAACGTCAGGCAGGGCTGGACCTAAACGCTGTTTCTCGCTCTGTCTTCGTGTCGTGCTCTGGTGTGCTCTACCCGCTGTCCCGTACCTCCCTGCCAAAATGAACAACACGACGCAGCCGAAGTCCGGCAAAACAGCGTTTGGGCTCGGCCCGGACGTCAGAGGGGAGGCCGGCTCGGGAGAGAGAAAGGTCGAGCTGGAAACGGCGACGCATCGCCGGTGGGCCCGCGACAGCGGCTGCGCACGCTCCTGGGCGGGGCGGGCTGCCGGGCCCCTCTCGGCGAGCGGTGGGGCGATCAGGGGCCCGTGCGTCCAGCACTGCGCCCCAGCTGACGTTGCCTCTGAGAGGAGGGCGAGGCTCGAGAGGGGGAGGGAGAGAGCAGGCACAAGGAGGAGGAAGCTGTGGCCGAGCTAGAGGGGCCAGGAGGTGACACGGCCCTTCCACAGGGCGGCTCCCGAGGGGGTCGTGGGTCTTCGAGGCGGGCCCCCGCTCAGCGGGCACCCGCTCAGACACCCACGAGCGGGGCCGAAGGCAGCGGCCACGCGACCAGCGCCCTTTAGGCGCCAGCACAAGGGGGG